CTGATGGTGATGGTAATTATAGTGATGGTAGCAGTGATGGTAACCATGTCGCGTTCCGGCAGACAACAGTGCTGATTATTCTTTCCCCACTCCCAAACTCAATAGCACCAACAGTATATGCTTAGGATCATGACGGGTATAGGGTTGCGGGGCTCCTCCCTTGCAGTGTCCGTTCAGTATAGGCTAGGGCCCGTCTTGTCTGGACTGACTGGCAACCTTGCTACAGCAAGTCCTCACTGGGCATGCAGCAGTTCTTCCAATCATATACCAGAATATTTTACACAGTACTATACAATGATGTACTGTTTTTTCATAGGATAATATACTGGACTATTATAGTATAACGTAGTATACTAGAATATACTATAATCAACTGTCAGCCCATCCAGCGGAGTTGGAGACTGCGGGCGGACGTAGCATATGCTAGGTGAACGATCCTTTGTACAGTCTCAAGTCCAGTTGCACCCCAAACTCGTCAAAACCCACTCCCTGGGAATGCCCTGAAAACAAGCAACAAAATACGTGAAAAAAACCCACACACACATGCACAATCTAGTCAAGAGTCCCAAAACCATCCTTAGACTCTATGCAACAAGCTAAAGCCCACGCCCCAAACATCACCGCTGCCTCCTACCATATCCACATACTATCATCTGCTCTAGTGCAATATAATATACTATAAACTAGGTGGGGCTTTCAAAGCCTTTGAAAAATATTAGTAAATAAGATCCTCTTAAGCCCAATAACGGAAAATATAAAATGTCCCAAAGCCCTACCTAGTAATATACTATAAAGGACTCTAGTATACACACAGGCACCTCGGCTCGGAGGACGTAGCTGGCGACATGCCGTAGGAGGGAGCCCCATGCCAACCTCGGAGGGTTGTGGGGATTGTGGGGTTTAGGGTTTAGGGTTTGAGGGTTTAGGGTATAAGGTTTGGGGTTTAGGGTTTAGGGCTTGGGATTTAAAGTTCAGGGTTTGGGGTTTGGGGTTTAGGGTTTAAGGTCTAGTAAGGTTTCTAGAAAGTTGGACCGCAACAGGGAGCGAGGGCGGGGAGCTTGAAATTTCGAGGAGTCTGGAGAATGAAGACTTCGGGTTGCGAAAGTTTGGACCGGTTAATGTAGAATTTTGGGCTTTGAGCTACCGCTTCGGCTACAGCTGCTGCTGCTGCTGCCACTCCTCCTCGCCCACTCCCACTCCTCCTGCCACGATGACGACTACCTCAGTGCCTACAGCCCCGTCTCTGACTAATCAAAACGGCGAGGGCGACTTAGACCTCAGAAGACGACGACTACGACCACCGCTTGGACTCTCGCCGCTGCGATCACTGTTACCGCTACCACCACGCACTGCGATGATAGTAGGGGACTTCATACTACAGATAGGGTTCGGGTTCCGACCTAAAGGACTGGTAGTTACTACCTACTAGTTGTTCATGCTCTCATGTTGGACACCACATGCGCTTGGAGGCTTGCCTACAAAAAAGGAGTCTGATTCTTGCTGGAGCAGGAGCCCTCTGAATATTGCGGCAAAAAGGCTACTAAATCAGTACCTCCAAGGACCAGGATAATCCCAAAGCCCCAAACCCCAGTCCCCAAAACCTTGAACCCTAAGCCATAAACCCCAAAACCCCTAAACCCTAAACCCAAAACCCCTAAACCCTGAACCCTGAACCCTAAACCCCTAAATCCCTAAACCCTACAACCCCCGTTTCCGGAGCCCGGTCGCAAGCAGAACTTCGCCGGCATTGGCGAAGAGAAGGCCTGCTAGGCCAACCGTGGCTGGCTCGAGCCGAAGATGGCCGGCGACAGAGACGAAGGGTAAAGGGTTTAGGGGTTAGGGTCCTTTAAGGGTTTAGGGGTTAGGGTCCTTTAAGGGTTTAGGGGTTAGGGTCCTTTAACGGTTTAGGGGTTAGAGTCCTTTAAGGGTTTAGGGTTTGAGGGTTAGGGTCCTTTAAGGGTTTAAGGTTTAGAGCGGCCCTTTCAGCATCAAGGCTCTTCTTGCTAGTCACTCTCCTGCGAGAAGGAGCTTTATGATTTGCACAACGAGTGTCCCAAGCAGTAGTCTTCTAGGGCTTCGGGTTTAGAGTGTATAAGGACTTGCACTCACCACATTGTAGGCTTCCCCACTGCGGTCACAACTGCTGCTTTACAACACGCAACCCGTAATATGAGCCGCAGCAGCAGCAGTGGAAGGAGGTGGTTTTAGAACCACGTCACGTCACCACCTTTCTCCTTAGCGACGTCGGCGCGTCGTCACCAACATCATCCTGAGTAGTGTCACAACCACCGTACTCATGAGTCATTCTCACCACCACCACCACCACCACAACCACCATCCTCCTCATAATCGTTGCCATCGCTGTCACCGCGACAATGACCACCATGATCATCACCTTCACCAGCATCATCATCGTCGCCACCATCGTCGCATCACTGTGCTCGTGCTTGTTCGCATCGTGGCTTGTGCTACTATGTATTAATACCACAAACCTATTAATGGCTTCTTCCTGGGCATCAGGAGACATCAGCGTGATCATCGCCAACAACAACTTCCATGCCGCTACCACCATCAACACAACCCTCACCCTCACCAGGGAAACAATGAGGATTGCAGATGCAACCTGCATGCTACATCCCACGAACCCCTTTCAGTTTACAACCACAATACATCCCTAAACAACAAAACAATCTGAACACTACGCCCCAAGCCCGAAACACTAAAAATCGAAACCTCAACCATCACCTTACACACCTTTGCCCTCAAGACTCCACAGCTCTCGCACGTTGGGACAGCATGCTCTGAGACGGGCAGGAATGCATGCAACGGCAAAGAATAACATAAGGGCCTTCATACTCAGAATCGGGTTTGGGGCCCATTCTACCATAACTATATATAATAAGAACCCCCCCCAAAAAAATAGGACAGGTAAGTGCGAAGGCCCCAAGAGCTTAGGATTTTGGGCCAGAACTTCAGGACTTAAGGTTTGGAATTCAGGGGTTCATATATCGTTTTTAGGGGATTTAGGACTCAGGGTCCCTGGACTCTGGCTTCGGCTCAGAAAAAAATCTGCAGACCCCAAACCCTAAAGGTTTAGGGTTTAGGGTTTAGGGTTTAGGGTTTCGGGTTTAGGGTTTAGGGTTTCGGGCTTGGGGTCTCCTATGCACCTCTCAACAGCGCCCCAAGGCACCGACGAGTTCGGAAGGACAGTGTGCTTGCAAGATTTCACCTCTTCCAATCTCTCATACTTTCGCAGCTTATGACCAGTCTGCATCTCTTTAGAGCGTAGGACTTCTGGTGTGGGGTCTAAGAGGGTTATCTCCTACATCCGAAAGCCTTGTGTGAGAAGTAAGCTCTGGCGGTTTAGGGTTTAGGGTTTAGGGGGCTTATTTGGGAACAAAGCTCAGGCAGAGCTTGTCGTTTTGTCTTCGATGAACTTGGCCAGAAGCTCCGCAAGGGACGGGGTAAGCTGTTTGAAATGTGTGGGTTTTACTTCACGGTTTTTGTTTGACGGCTTCGCGGTTTAGGGCTTAACTTCACGGCTTTGGGCTCTGGGGCTTAAGCTCACGCCGCAGCGGTTTAGGGATTAGGTGCACGGTTTGGGGTTTGCGTTTTAAGTTCATGGGATAAGGCTTGGGCTGTTTCGGGTTGGGAACCGTTGGATTTCGTTTGGAGTTGGGAGCGATTGCTTCAAGCTGAGCTGTTGCAAAGCCGATATATGGGAGTTTCCGAAAATAGGGGACCCTAATATAGTACCCTAAATAGTAGGATCCTTATTATAAGGACCCCCAAAGACGGTACCCCCCTATTTTCGGAAACTCCCATATAGACATACCCTCTTGCGAGATCCTGACTTTTCGCACCCTTAAAGCCTCTACCGTACATGACTACGGCTGATGATACAAATGGGTAGTTCTCAAAATGATGGTCCCTTTCTGGGTGCTTGTTATAATACGGCACCTAATATTTAGGGTACCTAAAAAGGGGGCCATAATTTTGACAACCACCCAAATCTTGCATTACCTTGTATTCCTTGTTACGGGAGCCTGAGGCCCTGAAGCCATCGCCAGCGCAAAGCAATTTCGAGGTCCACGATTTAGCTGAGGAGGGTTCAAGGTCCCCTAAACCCTAAACCTAAGCCCTAAACGGCATTCCCCGAAAAGTGCAATGAAATCTCTGAGTCATCAGTGTACGGGACAGGGACGAACCATCAAATGCTATAGAGACCTCAAAAGTTCGAAGAGTGCTCCTGCGGGTTACTTGCATTCAGCTCCGTACCAGTATAATGTACTTCAGCGCATTGTTCTAATTATTCAGACCTCGGCAACTAGCTCCAAACCTTGATCTAAGAACGTTGGCGAGGGCCCAAGGAGGAGTCCCGAAACCAAAGCTGATGAAGCCCGAGACACCGCAGCCTAACCCCAATACCCCAATCCCCGCAATCCCTGAACCCTATATTTAAACCCTAAACCCAAAAACCCTAAACCCTAAACCCGAAAACCCTAACCGCGAAACCGCAAACGGCCTTGCCCTGAAGCCCGGAACACGTTTTTCATGGGAGGCCAAAAGGGAGTTTACGATTCTTGGGGTAGGGGTTCCTTAATATGAACCCTATTCTGGGAACCCTAATCCCTACTAAACCCCCATAGGCTAAAACCCCTTTTGGCCTCCTATGAGTTTGGGGTGCAGGGTTCGGGGCTTCACGGCAAACTCCGTAAACCCACGAATGCTTAAACCTCCAACACTCAGAGGTTGCACTGCCCGTGGCCTCGTACTCCAGCAGCTTCGCCTGAGAGAGTTCGCTGCTGCATGCTTTCTATAGGGGCCTTGATAGGTATCTGCACTATTTAGGGGGGGTTGCTGATTATCATTGTGGGCCCCAATACCATTTTCTAAGTATTAAGGCCCCTATATTGATAAACTTGCTTTGGAACGGACACTCACCACATTTCTCCGGCTACGCGGGAACTCTGAACCTGCGGCGGCTGACAATGCGCGGTCTAGGGCCTTACTAGGCCGCGAGATGCTTCATTTAGGATGTCGGCAATGTCCGGGTGCCCTGTGGCTTCTGCATGGTCGAAAGCTGTCTTGCCAAACTCATCTCGGACTTTTGGAGGGGCTCCTGCCTTGAGCAAGGCTTCGACCACCTTCGTGTGGCCACGGCCTGCAGCCGTGGAGAGGGCTGTGGAGCCATTCTCATCGCGGGCCTCCATCTCTGCCCTGGCCTTCACCAAAACCTGGACCACTTCCAAGTAACCGTTGCCGGCAGCACACATGAGGGCTGTGGAATCCTTGCTCCGGGCCTCCAGCTCAACTCCCGCCTTCACCAACACCTCGACCACTGCCAGATGCCCTTGGAATGCCGCAATGGTGAGTGCTGTGCTGCCCTCCTGAACGCGGGCCTCCAGCTGGGCTCTGGCCCTCACCAACGCCTCCACCGACGCCGACTGTCCTTGGTATGCAGCAGAAAGGAGGGCCGTGACGCCTTTCTCGTTGCGTGGCTCCAGCTGGGCTCCGGCCTGCACCAACACCTGGAGCACGGCCAACTGGCCAGCACCTGCTGCTCGGATGAGGGCTGTGGAGCCATCCTTGGTCCGGGCCTCAAGCTGGGCTCTTGCTTTCACCAGCACCTGAACCACCTGAACGTTTCCTTCTTCTGCAGCACCGCCGAGAGCTGTGAATCCCCTCTCACTCCTGGTCTCCAGCTGGGCTCCCGCCTTCACCAGCGCCTCGACCACTTTGACGTGCCCAATTTCTGCAGCAGACATGAGGGCTGTGAAGCCGTTATCGCTGCGGGCATCCAGTTGAGCTCCAGCCTTCACCAACGCTTCGACCACCTTCAGATTGCTCGAGAGCTTGCTTGCTGCGGTGATGAGGGCGGTGCCGCCATTCTCGTCCCGGGCCTCCGTCTGAGCTCCTGCCTTCAGCAACGCCTCGACCACTTCCAGGTGTCCGTTCTCTAGTGCAGTGCAGATGAGGGCTGTTTTGCCGAGCCGACCTGGAGCGTTTGGATCAGCATTCTGCTGCAAGAGTTGCCTCACCCGCAGCAGCATCGCCGGGCCGCCGAGATGAAGATCAGCCCCAAGCTCCGCATGCCCTTGCAAGCTGCTCGACAGCTTCTGGAGCAGATGCTCTGTGCGTCCTTTGACCTCCTATGTCTGGTTCTTAAGTGGGAATGGGTACTAGGGACCACTATTGGGGATTATGTAGGGACTACTACAGTGATCCATTCCCCCATTCCCCACTAACAGTCCTCTGCTTGCTGCCACCTGCCAAAACCTCGCAGAGTCTGTGCCAGCTTGTTGCCAACCGTCGCCTCCTCTGTGCCCAGCCCTGCAGCGGCAAAGCCTGCCACGCGAGGGCTCACGACCTCGCAGGAAGCGAGTGAAGCTCGGATAGTATTCCTTATTTTGAGCCTCCTAACTCATAATCAGCCTTATAAGCCGTGTAATAAACCATACAAGAAGCCTTAGCATTAGCCTTGTAACGTATAACTTATAGAGTATATTAAGCCTTACGACTTATATAGTCCTCAAGTCATTTTCAGCTACACCTGAAACCGGGTCTGGAGCTGCGCCTTTTGCAGTTCTTGGTCCTTGCGGTCTTGCTCCTCCTTGGCCTCCGTGCCGCGAAATGCTACCCGTCTTTAGGGTTTAGGGTTCAGGGTTTAGGGTTTACGGTTCAGGTTTCAGGGTTTAGGGTTCAGGGTTTAGGGTTCAGGGTTTAGGGTTTAGGGTTTAGGGTTTAGGGTTCAGGGTTTAGGCTTCAGGGTTTAGGGTTTAGGGTTCAGGGTTTAGGGCTTGCAACTAACTTAGCTAAAGCACGAAACATGCACAAACGTCAGCGAACACATTTGGCCAATAGTTTATGTAAAGGGCGGCCTTGACCAGCTTCCTCACGTGCTCTGCCAAGGCCCTGTCCAAGCTGCAAGCACCCGAGCAGTCGATGCACTGCCACTGGAGCCGCGACCTCGTCGCGAAGGCTGCCGGGCTCCAGGTCCTCATTGCGCTGGCCCAAGAGGGCAGGCGGGCAAGGAGCTGCTTCTGCAGGGCGGGGCTCGTCTTGTCACAGGTGCCCATGAGGTCCACGAGGATGACTTTCGGAGACCAGAACCCGAGCCCCCAGGCTGCAAGGCCCACTGTTGGGATTTCATGGGTGGACAGCACGGACTGCGACAAGTTACGTTCCCCCGTGATCTGCTTGTTCACCAGAGCGATGACCGTTCCTTGTGCCTTCTCCCGCATCCCGAGCACGAAGCTCATGCTTGCGATTGACCACATGTTTCCGGCAAGCGCGCTGGTCTGCGCATCCTTGTAACAAGCACCGAGGTTCTGGCTCGCCTCGATGGCTTGGCCGAGGAAGCTATCCGGGTGCACGGTGGCGTGATCTGTGGCCTTGGCAAAGTTGGAGAGCGTCGCCTTCGTCGTGCGCTGCTGGGGGTCACCATCCCAGAAGCCGGCCCAAAGCAACGCATGATGATGAGTCCGGGCGAGCGTTACTAGCCATCTTCTGAGAAAGGAAAGGGCCTGATACCGAAGGCGAGTCTTCAAGTTCGGCACTTCGAAGGAAGCGACGGCATGTCTGGAGACCTGGAGTGTCTCGACAAGCTCGTTCCCTAAAACAAAGATGTCGCTGACGCTCTCGGCGCAGGTCTTCTTCGGCTGGGCAGGATAATAGTCGAGAAGCCAGTCGGCTGTTGGCTGCAAAGCTTCGCATGCAAGGGTGAGATTGTTCATCAGATGCCCGAGCTGCTGATGGCAAGCGTCTGCACTATTACTCTGCCAGAGCTGCTTGATGCGGAAAACCAAATCCCTAAGTGCCCGCTCATGAGCCTCGGAATCGCTGGGCTCTTCCTTTGGGCCCTCAGCTGTGGCCACGACCGGGACCGGGCGAGGGGGGGCCAGGCCAGGCCAGGTGGGGCCAGGGGCTAAGAGCCTGGTTGTCACGAGCCGCTGAAGCTTCTCGGGCGAGCTCACTGGATGCTCAACCCACCAGACAGGATGGTCCTCCAATCTGACCCCTCGGACAACACCCACTGTAGCTGCGAAGGCCATGAGCAGAATCGAGATGAAGTTCACCATCGCGCGATAATCCTACATGGAATGCACTTAACGAGCGACCCAGAACGTGGCTCTGCGGAACATGCAGCTGGAGCAGCTAGCCCGGAAGAACATTTGGAGATTATCAAGCAAGCAACAGCCGTGGGAACGGAAGGGACCTGCCTCTGAATGACGAAACGTGGGACGACCACTGCCGCCGCCGCTGCCACCATCACCACCACCAGCAACGCCATCACAACCACAACAGCAAAAACAGAAGCAGCAGCAGCAGCAACAACAACAACAACAAACCCCAATCCCAAAAACCGCCACAGAAGCAGGAGGAGCAGCAGCACCACCACCACCACCTCCAGCATCAGCACCAGCACCTGCAACACCACCACCAACAACAACGGCGACGACGATGATGACGAGCGTGATGGTGATGGTGTTGAAGCCGAAGATGATGATGACGATGATGATGATGACGGTGATGGCGATGACGATGGTGATGTCCTAATCATCATCCTCATCATCCTCATCATCATCATCACCACCATCATCATCATCATAAGCAGCAGGTTCATTAGCATCATCATCTGCACTATCACCAACATGGCAAACATCATCAGCCTCCTCACGGTCATCATCATCGTCGTCAACAACAACGTCACCACGCTCGGGGATGGCTGTTACCATGGGTTTTAGCATGGGTGCTCGAGGAATCGGACGCTCTCGTGGATTTCCATTATCATGGCTTGGGCATGGATGTGTGAGAATCTGATGCTCTCGGTAATGCACGCTATCATGGTGCTGGCATGGATTCTGCCTGCACTCCCCGACAATTTCAACTCAGAAGATTTACGCATTTTAGGGCTTGAATCGCGAATGGTGATGTTGGTGATGGTCGCGATGGTGGTGGTGATGATGCCTGTACTGATGATTCTGCTGGTGCTGGTGCTGGTACCTGCCAAACCCACAAAGGCTCCGGCATCCTGCGGCACAGGATCTGCAGACAAGGCCTGGACGTTCACTCTTTGTGTGCGTGTCTCTCTCTCTCTCTCTCTCTCTCTCTGTTCTCTTGAAGGGCTTCCGGTTTGGGTGATAGAGGTTTCAGTCCGAGGGTCTAAAGCTTAGGGATTCAGGGTATGTAGTAGCCTAGGGTTTAGAGGTGAATGGTTTAGGGTTTAAGGGTCTTAGCTTTAGGGTTTAAGGGCTTAAGGGTTTAAGGGTTTAAGGGTTAAGGTTTTTGGGTCTTGCCAGTGTCGTTGTTCTTGTTTCCTATAATGCATGTCATTCTCTGCTTGTCGAAGCCTCCGGATTCCAGATCTGAACCCCGAATCCCAAACCCCCAAGGCTAAAAAGCTCTAATGATTAATGTAGGGGCCTAGATACTTCCCTATACCATTGTAAGGATTCCTTACTATAACAAAAAGTATACTGGGCCCCCCACGACCCCGAACCCCAAGGCTCTAAAGCCCTACGATGAGAGGCTCTGACTTTGCAGCTTTGTCTGCCCAGAGAGCCCAATACCGCTTAATTAAGGAATATATCTTAAATCATAATATGAAGCCCTACATAATTGAAGCCATATTCCTTAATAAAGGGATATAGGAGTCCCCTAAACCCTAAACCCTCTAGATCCCTTATAGGATCCTTTAAAGGAGCCCTAGGTATTCCTTAATTAAGGGCTATTGGGGGCTCTTTGTCTGCAGTAGTAGTAGTAGTAGTAGCAGTAGTAGTAGTAGTAGTAGTAGTAGTAGTAGTAGTAGTAGTAGTAGTAGTAGTAGCAGGAGTAGTAGTAGTAGTAGTAGTAGTAGTAGTAGTAGTAGTAGTAGTAGTAGTAGTAGTAGTACTAGTAGTGTAGGACTCTGATTAAGAAACCTTGGGCCTTTATAAGGGTTCCTGATATGAATCCTACTGTTTTGGTGTTATAGGCCCAGGGTTTCTTAATCAGGTTCCTGCGTTAGAGGTGCCTACGTTAGAGTCGGAAACACTCCAAAGCCTCACAACGGTGCGACGGCTACAAGTTTTCAGGTTGAAGCTTGTGGCTCTCCGAGCCTGAAGAATGGAGTATTTCTCCCTTTGCAGTGACACGTTGGATGTTAAAGGAGAATCTTTGTTTGAGCGGCTTTTAACAACATCTCAGAGCCCTTTGTGGGCAGGCTTCAGGGTTTAGGGTATACCTTGAGGATTTGTGGACGGCGTATGTCTGCGGCGCGTTTCGGGTGCACAGCCCAGTGTCGTGGGTCGATCCGCGGGAAATGGTGTGACACTACCCGCCAACATGACCTGAGTACAGACTTGTAGAAGCAGCTGTAGTAGCAGCCCTAGACATCGTCGCAAGTCATCGTAGTCGCAATCATAGTCATAGCCGTAGTAGTAGTAGTAGTAGTAGTCGTCGTCGTCGTCGTCGTAGTAGTAGTAACAGTAGTAGCAGCTGCAAAATAGCAGCAGCAGTCGCAGCAACAGAAGCAGTGATAGTGGTGTCTGCTCGTGGTCGCCTTCGCTGTCGTTGTAGCAGCACTACCAGTATCAGCAGCAGTGGCGGAAGCTACAACCGTAGCAGCAACAGTAGAGGTAGATTCAGCCACCGTCGTAGTTCGAACGAGAAGTCCTCTGAAACCATTACATCTAAGACCCTGAACCCCAAACTCGTAATGCCAGTTGCCTAAGGAATAGACCGTAAGACCAGAAGCCTTGCACAGTGTAAAGTTCTGGTTGCACGAGGCTCCTGATGAAGAGTCCGGGATTGCAGTACATTCCGCAATTACCGGGTATTGGGCTGTAATTGTGCACAGGTTTCGGCTGGAGATTTTAAACCTCGGCTCTGCTAATACCGCGGGGACAACTGTTTTGCTCTGCGGCTGAAAGAGCCTCAGCATTTCAGGTTGCTGCTGCTGTGGGGTTTCAGGGCTCAGTGATGTGGATTTATACATGGGAGTTTCCGAAAATAGGGGACCCTAATATCGCACCCTAAAGAGTAGGATCCTTACTATAAGGACCCCAACATAAGGTACCCCTAATTTTCGGAAATTCCCAAGCCCTAAACCCTAAATCCTATAGATCCCTCATAATAGCAACCCTTAAAAGGAACCTCATAGATCCCTTTAAAGGAGCCCCTAATTTTCGGAAACTCCCCTTTATGGCCTCAGCCTTAGACTCAGACATGTGGCCTCGGCTTTCCAAGCCCCTCAACCCTGAACCCTAAGCAAAATACTTAAACCCTACCTTAACCTCCCAAAACCTACGTTTTTTGTAGGGTCCCTATATTTCCATATTAGGGTTTGTCATAAGAACCGACAAAAAAGTAGGGGTGGGGTTTGGATGACGGCTTAGGGTTTAGGGTTTAAGGGTTTAGGGTTTAGGGTTTAGGATTTAAGGTTTAGGGTTTAGGGTTTTAGGCTCTGAGACTGCGACGATCGCTGCCCATGCTAAGAAGCATCGGCCCGGGAACATGTGAACCATCAAGGGTTCCTTTAAAGGGCTCCTTTAAGGGTTCCTTTGAGGTGTGTTTCTTTACGGGTTCCGTTAAGGGATCCTTCAAGGGTTCCCGTAGAGGGTTTAGAGGGTTCCTGTAAAGGGTTTGGGATTTAGGTTTGAGGGTCTAGGGAAGAGATGTGAAGCCTGAAGGGTTTTTAGATGCTTTTCCAAGAATTCCAGCATGATGAAGATAAAAATCGCGTGCAGGGCCCAGTAGCCCTTAAACATGGGATATACCTCCTTGTGTAGGATGGCTTTATGCTCCACTATTCTTTTCAGTCCCCTATCATACACTTCTAGGGGTGTGGAAGCCAGACAAAGCGGTTCAGGGTTTAGGGTTGGGGTTCGGAGTCTTTAGTTACAAAAATATAGCCGCCGTGGGCTGTAAGCTTGAGCCCGCAAAGCCCAGGCGCGCAGTTCTGGAAGGGCTTCTTGAATGAGGGGCGTCTATTTCGGGGTCGTTGTAATGACTGTCCTGCTATTCAGGGTCGGTCCAATTTGCGGACCCTGCGTTCTTAAACCCCCTAAGAACAAACAAACCCTACCCATGGAACAAAAGCTAAACCCTAGCTACAAGGCGCAAACTCAAACCCCCAAACCCTGAAGGGCGTGGACGCCTTGCAGAAGGTTGCAGAGAAGACATAGGCTCTCACTAGAATCGTGAAAATTCCTGTTGCAGAGGGCCTGCCTGCATCAGGACTCCAGATGGGTTAATTAGGGTGAAGATGATGAAGATGATGTGACCCAGAAAGCAACAGAATTTATTTCCATTACGAGCGCTGTTTAGACTTGATCTTTGCTGCTCTAACCAGGACGATGACGAGGATGCTGACAGCGAAAATGATGACGCTGATGATGACGATGATGATGATGACAACGCAGACGATGACCAGGTTCATGATGAGGAGGAGGAGGAGGAGGAGGAGGAGGAGGAGGAGGACGACGACGACGACACGATGCAGTGGCTGCTGCTGCTGCTGCAAACGGTGGTGGTCGCGATGATTTGTAATTGTGACGGTGATCGTGATCGTGATGTTGCGGTGATAGCGATGATTGTGATGATGTATTCCAGAAGCTGCTGTAGTTGCGGTGGCTGAAGAAGCGGCAGCACTCAAATCAGACCCGGCAGCACGTGCAGACCTCATCGGACCTGATCGTGGAGAACCAGAAAGCAAGGGCTTCGACAAAGACTCTGTATCAAGGGATCCTTAAGATCAGTACACTCCACAGCCGCCCCTAATGTTCAAACACGACGCTGTAGAGCTGCAAGGGTGCTGGGGCTCATTGATCTCGTGGAAACAGAGGCCTAGTCCGCTAAAGTGCTGTAACCGCACACCCGACGTTCCATTTTGAACGTTACGCTGCTGACCGTGAAGGCAGCGAAACAAAGGGCCGGCGCAGACCGTAAGTCTTTCATGAGTAGTTCTTGGACTTCTGCTTGCAATGCACCAAACTCGGATTCGGGCTGCGCAACATTTCGGCCATTCTGCGGTAGGAACCTGATTAAGAAACCTTGGGACTTTATTCGGGTTGTTTACATGACTCCTACTTTGGGGGGT